GGGGACTGTGCTCCGATAGACACTGCACCCATGGATGATATATGTCAGTGGCAGTGGCAGAACTACCAGCAGTGCCGATACAGAGATACCACTGATCTTCTTGTGTCTGTGTCTCTCCCTGCAGCAGCTGAATGCCAGTTTCTCTCCCCCTGCTGGTCTTTAGCTGCAGGGAGAGACACAGACACAGGGCATTGTTTTGTAATTGCCCCTTCCCTCTGCAGTGTCCACAACAATCTCCCCCTCTCTCTGCTGACATATGTGTGTCTTGATCTCCCCCCCATGTGCCCAGCCCCTGCCTGCAGTGCTGCTGTCCCGTCAGCTGCTGTAGGTATCAAGGCTGGGTCTACAGTAGGTCCTCTATCTATCAGAAGGCAATGCAGCTAGTCTGCTTCTGTCTGTGTGAAAAAAAAAGCTCAGCACTGGCAACTGCGAGTAGAGCTGAGTAGAGCCGTGTTGGTTTCTGTATGGAAGAGAATCGGGGGCTCTGAGAGGGGCTTTGGAACATCCAGCACTGAAGGTGATTCTATGGAAAAGAAGGGAAGAGGCTGCTAGGTGCAGAGAGGTAAGAGGAGTGGATGGGGGGGATTCTATGAGCAAAGGAGTGTAAAGAGTGAGGGTGATGGGGGGTGTTCTAGGTGCAGAAGGGGGGAGCTGTTGATGGGGGGAGGTATTCTAGGTGTAGAGGGAAGAGCTGTAGATGGGGGAGTGTTCTAGGTGCACATACTACCCACTGCCATACGCTCCATACCCCTCACCCTACTGATACTATCCACCGCCATACACTCCGCACTTCTCTCCCTGCTCATTTTAACCATCGCCATACACTCCGCACTCCTCTCCCTGCACATACTACCCATCGCCATACACACTGCATTCCTCTCCCTGCACATACTACCCACCACCATGCATGCTGCACTCCTCTCCCTGCACATACTGCCCACCGCCATACACTCTGCACTCCTCTCCCTGCACATACTACCCCCCGCCATACACACTGCATTCCTCTCCCTGCACATACTACCCACCACCATGCATGCTGCACTCCTCTCCCTGCCCACTGCCACACACTACGCTCTCCTCTCCCTGCCCTTACTATCCTCCGCCATGCATGCTGCACTCCTCTCCCTGCACATACTACCCACTGCTGTACACTTCTTACCCTTCTCCCTGCACACTACCCACCGTCATACACTCCACACCCCTCTCCCTGCACATACTGCCCACTGCCATACACTCCACATTCCTCTCCCTGCACATACTACCCACTGTAAATTCAACACTGTACATTCCCTATTTAACATCACCACATTCTGTACTATATAAGTCATATCAGGCTCTATTTAACCACACCCACTTTAAGCCACACCCACCCATGCACTGTGTTTCTTTTTTTTTTATGCCTAGGGCCCAATTTTTATCTTGCACATGGGCCCACTGATTTCATGATACACCCCTGCCTGGGGGAGTAGCGCTACATATGCATTTATGGAAGATAATATACTAGTTTATGTAGATATAAAATACATTTTTTTAGTTTCAGCCTTACACATTCCTTCTCTGTTGCTTTCCATAGGACTGATTTGTTAAGGATTTTCAATCTCTGCTTAGCATGCTTTAACAACCAACAAAACAAAGTCGGTTTGCGTAGTCTAAGCTGTTGAAACCTAGACTCCAACTGTCAGAAGGTACTGATTTGTTGTATTCACATCTATAGCTCTTAGTAGGAAGAAAATGAGACAGTTTAGTAAGATTTGCTGGTTGGTTCCAACCACTTGCAGGCAGAGATTACTAATAAAGTAAATTTGAACATAGCAGGTTAGAAACTACAGCCCATGCAGCTTCCAATGAGCCAACAAAATGTATCATATGTTTCTGTATGGTACATCTCTGTAAGTATGTAACTATAGTCATAGCAGACCATGCAACTGCTATAGGGCCCATAACTGTCTGACTATACAGTGATTTATGCAGTTAGCAAAGATGTTTGACAGTAGATGGATGTGTACAATGGAAACGTCTGTATGATTGCCACCAAAGCAGTTAATATTCTGTAAATTGCTTTCAAAGTAGATATTAGATAGTCAGAGGTCTTAAGTTTTTTGCTACCTTTATTTTTAATCTAATCTAAAACAAAAAGTGGATATTTAATAAGCAGGTGGGCCCTTGATGGTTTTGCCATGTACCATATACACTTTTATGTTTAACATTACATTTTTTTTTACTAATAATGCAAGTGGGCATTGAAGCAGAATAACATTTTACAAGCAAATGTTTTCAAGACCATGAAATTGTTAAAGGATGGAGGTTTGGATTAACAATATAAGAGAACATAATGTTCCTCTTCCTAGATATACAAGTATAGCCATGAGAATCACGTGGCTGTTAGGAGGTCTGGCAACACAGGAAACACAATTTACAGGGAAAATTGCCACAACGGGGCTGCTATGATTAGTTGCATAGAAGTTTATGCAGGCAGCAATAAAATGCAGGGCATAATTAGGACAAGTGCACCAGATTACTATTTAAGCAATTATTATGTTTCAGTGTTGGCTATTTGTACATGTCTCACAGGTCTTGGCAGGAGATGGATTTTGGCTGCTACTTACAGCTTGGAAGACCTGAGAGAACAATCATTTCATGGATTGGTTATTTCTTGTTATATCCAAGATTTTATATGAACAAAATAAGGTGAACTGTCGAATGGGTTAGAGAGAAAATCTTTGCCAAATTTTTGCAATAAGATATTGTAAGGGAGACAGTCTGAACTGGTATTTGCAGTGGTTTACAATGCAAGACACAGAGACACCCAGGAACAATTCAACCAGGGTTTTCCTGCACTTTTGTTCAACAAGCCAGCAAACAAACTTCCATTCAAGGAGGCTATTAACTACAAAGACACACCAGCATAGGGTGGTCACCATGGGTGTGTTTAATTGCCATGTCCTGATTGACTTACTAATACCCCTAACCCAAAGTAGAATAACATGGATTTTAATAGTACTATAAAACACCAAGTTAAAAAACAAAGCATATTTTATTGTACAAAAGCCTTTTTTAAAATACCGGAAAACATATATAAAAGATGCTTAAGCAATAAGAGAGGATCAGATCCAGTGGATGGTACAATACTTGAGGAAATAGGACCCCTAGTTACAGGGGGAACTTGATTCATTAACTTCCTACACCCAGTGGCTCCCTGAAGGTCACAGTGATGAGCTCAACCTGTTTCTCAATGATGATCGTTTCTTCAGGAGCTTGAAAGTGATATTCTATATTAATAAAAGCACAAGAACCATGAATAGTCACATATGTATAAATTGTGTTTACATTGTTATAAGTAATAATTTACAGTGACTTACGTATGCAAAAACTATCATAATAAGTAGACAACGAGGGCAAATGGAACTGGCAGAGTGGTGGACACCCAGACAGATGGGGGAACCAAAATCATGGGGCACAAAATCTGTCTAATAGGAGTATATACAATATATCAATGTTAGCAGTAATCCATATATCCAAAGCGTGGTCCCCCTAAATATGGTATATGACTAGGATATCTACCTAATTAGTGGCTAGCACCATCCACATACATCCATAAGGGCTTCTAAATAATTATCCAAAGGTCATGTATAAATTCCATGCAGCTAATACTAAAAAGGTGAACAGGAAATAAAGTGTCTTCCTGGGGTATCAGAAGGGCCCTTTCAAAAAAAATATATATTGATAATTAGTTTTACTTACCCTGTCTCACTTATAGATGTCCTAAATTAGTAGCAATAATTAATCTCATGCCTTCCTAAGGAATGTCCTAAGTTAATAGCAATGTTGACACTCACCAAAGAATGCAACAACAGTTCCCAGGGATAGAATGGTAGCTGATCGAGCACAGCATTAGCCAGTGCAGATTATGTTCTCACAGGTAAACAATTAGATAATCACTTTCAAATAGTTAAATTCCTTCTATTCAATAATATATTGGTTATCAAGCTGAAACACATGGTCATATACTGTATAAATATGAATGCATGTAGAAATCTGGCCTTGAGGGAGTGTCTGCTGAAAATATCATTAATGATTTAGCACTCCTGAACCACACCCCTCAGACCCTTGGCTTGGCTATGTCATTTCTTCAAATGCCTGTAATTAGTCTGTAATTGGGTCGGGTTACTGCATGTTAGATGCTTTCCTTAACCTAATATCTAACATTTGCTTATTAACAGTACTAACATATGTATGAATTAGTTGGATCTTAACAGAATAATTGAGTATTTATATTTCCATTTGTTTTAGATTGGGAAAAGTAAGATAAATAGACTTTTTATAGCTTATGTGAATATTCATATATGTATGTTAAAATATATATATATATATATATATATATATATATATATATATCTTGGCTTGTTCTTTACATTCGAGCAACATGTGGTAGTAATTAGTCTAGCTATCCCTGCCCCTATCTTCCCCCATCTCTGTAAGCTAAAGTTACACTCAGACTCTAAGGGGAGGAGGGGAGGTTTTGTTCTCTTCTGTTGCCATTCATTATCTTTGTAGAACTACAAGAGAATACCAGCCCATTTTTAGGAAGGTGGGGGCTGGATTGCTCCTTAAAGAGCAGAACAAAGGTTTTTGAGACTCACTTTTTCTAGAAGCCTAGATTGGACACACACACAGATTCATATTACTACACATACCTTATTATATACAATATCTTAAGAATCTAACTACCATATTTTCCGGCGTATAAGACAACTTTTTTTACTTAAAAACATACCCCAACAATTGGGGGTCGTCTTACACGCCGGGTATAGAACCGCTGGATGTGCGGTAATACTGTACGGTAGCTTCAGCTACATACAGTGTACCGCGCTGAGCCAATCACGACGAGCGATGTATTATATTAATGAATACAGAGCCTGCTTGGATTGGCTGAAGTTGTGACATCATCAGCCCGCCTCTCTGACGCAGCCAATCCGAGCAGGCTCTGTATTCATTAATAGAATACATCACTTGCCGTGATTGCCTCATATGATGTCCTCCCATTCTCTGCGCATGCGTGGCGATGCACTGTGTCCCTCGGACACAGCGGATCACCGATCATGGAAAGAGCCAAAGATGTTGGCACGATCATGTGATCAGCTGTGTCCAATCACAGCTGATCACATGTAAACAGGGAAATGCGGGTTATCGACATTTCTCTGTTCTCGAGCTGTCACGCTGACAGCTCCAGAGGAGAGGAGAGCCGGTAATCGGCTTTCCGCGGAGGGGACATGTACATTGATCATCAGGGCACTGATGATCAGTGTGCCTTGATGATCAGTGTAGCCCCAGCAGTGCCAGCTGTCAGTGTCCACCCATGCCACATCAATGCCACATATCAGTGCCTACCAGTGCACATCAATGCCACATATCAGTGCCCATCTGAGCTGCCTTTCAGTGCCACCCATCAATGCCAATCAGTGCCACCTATCAGTGCTGCCAATCAGTGCCACCTATTAGTGCGCATCAGTGCCGCCTATCAGTGCCATGTATCAGTGCTGCCTTTCAGTGCCCATCAGTGATGCCTGTCAATGCCCATCAGTGCCACCTATCAGTGCCACCTATCAGTGCCAGTCAGTGCTGCCTATCAGTGCGCATCAGTGCCGCCTATCAGTGCCAGTCAGTGCCGCCTATCAGTGCGCATCAGTGCTGCCTATCAGTGCCACCTAACAGTGCCAGTCAGTGCTGCCTATCAGTGCCGCCTATCAGTGCCATATATCAGTGCCATGTATCAGTGCTGCCTTTCAGTGCCCATCAGTGATGCCTGTCAATGCCCATCAGTGCCACCTACCAGTGCCTCCTCATCAGTGCCACCTATTTCATATGGGTACAGTGTTGCATGACCACACAATTGTCATTCAAAGTGTGACAGCGCTGAAAGCTGAAAATTGGCCTGGGGGGGAAGTGGGTATAAGTGCCCTGTAGGCTAGGGGTTAAATGGTGTTGCCTCAAAAGGGGGGGAGTCTTATATGACGAGTATAGCTCAAAACCTATGTTTTACCTGGAAAATTAGGGGGTCGTCTTAAACACCCAGTCGCCTTATATGCCGGAAAATACGGTATATTTTTGGACATTAAACATTCCAATATTTTATTTCTAATTTTATGCAACATTATTATTAAATCAATTTTTGAGTTTATGCAAGAGTTGGAAGGACTTTCTAATTTGAAATTTTGTCACCAAATACAAGTTAACAAAATATCGAGACAATACGGTATTTTACACTGCAGGTCACGCTGGATGGTTTAACTCCATCGCCTCCACCTGGTTGTGGAGGACCTTCCAGAAACCAGCGGGCGGAAGGGGTGGAGACCTAATCTGCATGTTTATGGGAGTTTAACCAATCCCAGGTTTGGAGACCCTGGTAGAGTGGTGAGACCAACAAATAAATATGTGACAGTCAGGCTGGCATGGGAGTCGGGTGGAAGATGGAGTGCTGAGGAGACTGTTGGTGGCCTGTAAGGGGTCCCCTAGGTCTATGGGGGGCTGACCTCCAGGCTGGGCTTGGGCTGGCTCAGGAGGGTCCATTCAGCATCACAGCATGAGCAGGATCAAAGCCTGGGAGCAGTGGGTGCAAGCAGGACAGAGTGAATAAATCAGCGCACGCAGGGATTTACAAGGGGAGAGACTGCCACATGTAGCAAGCTTTCAAATGACAGCACTGTACTTATTCCTTTATCCTTGCCCTTCAGAGCAGCCAGGAGGGTTGGTAGTGTCTGCAGGCTGTGGAGCTGAAAGCAGTTCTACAGGGGAGAGGAGACATCTCTGCATGTAGTTTGCAACAAGCTAACTTAAATTTCAGAGGTGCTGCTAGTCCCTAGCCTGTGAGGGGCTACTGATCTGCAAAGACTGACTGCTTTCAAGGAAAAGAATAGTCGAGGATCTGTTCCTGTAAATAGGAAGGAAGTTGTCCATGTGCATTGATTCAGTCACGGTCGTCATCCCATAATCCCTATTACCTTATCCAGGTAATTTCCCCTACTAAAATAACAAAAACCAAGGTCATGGACTGTTCACTGACTGTGGATGCAAGCATAGAAAATGCATGTTGCCTGGCTGTGGGGAGCATAGGGGGATCTAGAAACACAGCGGCCCACAAGTGGGTAGCACTACATTATTAATACGGTATTCATGTGCCAGCTGCAGCAAGAATTAAGCATATTTCCGTGGCTGGATATGCAGATAGTTGCAGATGCTTAGCCTGTTCAATGCAATAACAGGCTGGCAGAGGCAGCAGCTGTTTGTGAGTGTTTGCAGTGATTACCTGGAGTCATTACCTGTAGTTAGGGACAGATGACTGGCCCTGGATGCAACCTGTTTGATTACAGGGGTGATTGTCTGTCCCTAACTGCAAGTAATCTTTCCATGTATGATTACATCAGAACACCCATCCATGGACAGCTGGGGCCACTGTCAACTGTTTTGTACAGGCAGACCAGCCACAACTGCAACCATTGGATTTACACTTCAGTGAACAGGAACTGGAACCAAAGACCAGGCAAAGCGTATAAGTAGTTTTGATTTTTAATTTATTTTGCTGCTGTTGTCTATTTTTTAAATATCTGTAAATAGTCTGTAAATATTGTTCTTCATTAGAATTTAACTCTAAAAATACTCTAAACCAGAACATAAGAATTGTTGTCTCTTGAACAGAAAGCTAGTGTACACTGAACTTTGTTTCCTCCCTGGTTGAGTCACAGATATTTCTTAAAAAGTCAGATATACTAAACCAGATACTGTAATGGTGCCTTTCCTTTCATTTAAAATGTGGTGGCAGTTGTTTTTTGTGTGTATAAAGGGTTAACTCATTCTTATTCTGCTGGCGGTAAGATTTTTGTCCCGCAATCTGGACGCTCTTTGTGCAGGGTGAAGCTGAAAGTTCCATCGTCACATCACGTCAGCTTGCAAATACTCTATAAAGGCCTGTGGACAGCTGAGATTAATATTGAAGTCTGGCTACCAGGTAAGATTTGGACCTAGGACTGGAGGCTTTATCCCACCCAAAGCTTTACAAAGCTTGAGATTTATCAGGATTCTGATTTTTTTCTTCATATAAGCCATAAACCTTGGAGACCCTCAACATGGCTATGTTAGAAACCTAGGTTACACATACATATTGTCCATAATCCCGCAAGCCAGTTCCTGACAATATATTTGTAGCATCTCCCTAAGCCCCCCCCCCCCCCCCTCCCCAGAGGCAGGTAAAGTACCTAAGGAGCAGGTGATATTTTATCCTAGTTTGGATACATGGCTAAAATGGAGGATTGGGAAAACATTGTGCAATAGTCACTTTCTGTCTTTTAAGAGTTTTTATTTCTCATCACACAAGGAGGTAGGGTTAAGGCTGCTGACAACCGAAGCAACACTTATAGACTTTCTAGATCAATGTCCAGCTATACAGTGTAAACAGCCTTTAAGCTAACCCAGCAATACTGTAGGTCTCATCTTAAGCTGGTTAATAAACTTCTCTCTGTGCTTGTACCAGTGTTCATTGTGCATACTCATAGGCTTCAATATATCTTCCTCGAGTCCCTGTGAGGAACACATGGTCCCTCCAGCCCTCCAACTTTAATCCTGGCACATCCCTCCATCCAGGAAAGACAGCTTCCAGGATCACTTCAGCAACTAGCCCGGAGCACGCGATAGGCACTAACCTAGATCAGGCAGCACATCCTCAGGCCACAGCCCAGGGGAGAACGAGTTCATATGGTCCACTATTTATATCCCCCAGCATCACTAGTGGTAATAAACCTCCTACTGTTCGCTGGAGGAAGTATACTTATTCATAACTGTTTTTACTGTGGCATTTCATACTATTGCCAGAGGTACCAGTGACACCTATTGGCAGCAGAGAGAAACCACAGCTCCACTGAGTTTAGAGGAAAGCCAAGTGAATAAATAAACTGCAGTTTAAACTTAGGTTGACTGCCACCCAACATGGCTAAATATGTGTAGTAACCGATGTTTAGGACAGGGTGCTATATCAATGATTTAACATAAGATGTTTTTATCTGTCCCTAACTAAAGAAACTTATGTTTAATGACAGTATTAAATGCAGTAGGAATCTTCCAAGATTGTATCCATTATCAGCATGCATTGTCTATTCTGCTTCATCAGCAAGTTTTATATATATATGTATGTATGTGTGTATACATATATGTATGTATGTGTATATATATATTATATATATATATATATATATATATATATATATATATATGTATTGTGTGGCCTGTCTGCAGGTTAGCACTCACATTTTGGATATTGAATGAACAAGCAATTGTAACCCAGAGCAATCAATTAGTCATCAGTAACTCATTTTGATAATTAATGTCTCAAATTGTGGAAGAAATAGTGATCCAGAAAGTGTTCTTCATATCTAGATTCAGATGTTAATAAAGGAAACCTGTACTAAGAGAAATATGGGACTTTCATTGTGAAACTCTCATTCTGAAATGTTGGTTGTCTGGTTGTCACATTGATTTACTGGCAGATCTGATTTGCATGCTTGTTCCAGGCCAGTGAAGGGCAACTCTCATTTTCTGAAGCAGGACAGAAAAAGCAGTCTTTCTCTATATTTCACCAAAGGTTCCCTTTAAATCTACCTTAAGACTAGGGATGAAAGTCAGATCTGGAGCCAGATCTCACCATTCTATGGCCATAAATGTACACCTAAAACCAAAATGCACTTCATAAACCTTGTCCTTGGTCAGATGGGTCCCTGAAGGCCAACAATCTAAAAGAATAGACAAGCCAGCCCCTCATTATAATATCTATCTATTATAGGTATTTATATAGCATCAACAATTTATGCAGCACTTTACAGTAAATATTGTACATTCACATCTCTACCCTAAAGGAGCTTAGTATCTAAGGTCTCTATCTAACATGCATACATATATGCCCGGGCCAATTAACCTACCAGTATGACCCCAGTGCTGCAGGGCAGAAGTGCTAACCACCAATCCAATGTGCTTTGAGAGAGCTTAGAGAAAGCTGATAAATCTGTGTAGGAGGAGACACAATGTTTAATCAGTGCAATACTGTACTATACACTGCTATATTGTAGATTGCAGTGTGGTGAGCTACATACCCGTCAATTGTCCTGTATTCACAGTTCCATAAATCTGTCTTTATTAGGACTTTTTTTTCTGTATCAGCAGCAAGTGTGATTGTTTACTAGCCTCTGTGCCACCCTTTGCAACTTTTATTCTTTTTGTGATTTATTAAGATCTTTTAATGGTTTATTTTCTGATAGGGTTAAAAAAATGGTAGACTTTTGTTTTGGGTGATCCAGCATCCTTATTTGCAGAATTTCTAGGATTGTTAGGTCCTCTAATGGGACCCAGAATTCAGAGGCTCAGAGAGATTTGGGTGGGAAATAGCCTCCAACCCTGATTATGGGAATTGTATGCCTTGTAAGGTTAACCAACTTGTTTGAGGACTGTGTGTTGTCTGTAAATGGGACACTGCTGAACCGTGGAGACCTTTTAACACGTACCTGGTGCTGGAGGCCAATGGAGAGAGAGCTTATAGCGATGATCTGACTGAGGATGCTTGTCAGAGGTA